TATTTTCCAAAATACAAATAGCAAAGTGGTTCTCGTAATGTAAGCACTTCTGGAAGGCACTTTTCTAACACAAATTTATGCAACAATTTTATGATAGACTTAAAGGGATTCTCTATTGCCAGGAAAACAAACCCTGTTTTCCTGGCACTAGAGAATCCTGGAGTGCCCCCTCTCCCTCTACGCCTGTGGGGAAGACCTAATGCACATGTGCGGCAATGGGCGCGCACGCATTAGACCTCGCATAGCGTGAGGAAGTCCAGCGTTGTTTAGATGACCCAAAGTTGTCTAAGAAGTCAGAAGTCCCTCTAGTGGCTGTCTGGTAGACAGCCACTAGAGGAGGACTTAACCCTGCAAGGTCATTACTGCAGTTTATAAAAACTGCAATAATTACACTTGCAGGGTTAAGGGTGATGGGAGTTGGTACCCAGACCACTTCAATGAGCTGAAGTGGTCTGGGTGCTTACAATGTCCCTTTAACCATGGGTCTACTTAATGATTCTAAAATCTGTTACAATTTACAGACTAAAAAGTATACTTGCTGGGCATGGGGTGAAGTTAGCATGTCTACATGAGTAGACCTTTTAAAGGACCACTCTAGGCACCCAGACCACTTCAGCTTAATGAAGTGGTCTGGGTGTCAGGTCCTTCTAGGGTTAACCCATTTTTTTTTTATAAACATAGCAGTTTCAGAGAAACTGCTATGTTTATAAATGGGTTAAGCCTTCCTCCAAATCCTCTAGTTGCTGTCTCATTGACAGCCGCTAGAGGCGCTTGCGTGATTCTCACTGTGAAAATCACAGTGAGAGCACGCAAGCGTCCATAGGAAAGCATTGTAAATGCTTTCCTATGCGACCGGCTGAATGCGCGCGCAGCTCTTGCCGCGCGTGTACATTCAGCCGACGGGGCGGATCCGAGGAGGAGAGGAGGCAGAGAGCTCCCCGCCCGACGCTGGAAAAAGGTAAGTTTTACCCCTTTCCTCTCCCCAGAGCCGGGCGGGAGGGGGACCCTGAGGGTGGGGGCACCCTCAGGGCACTATAGTGCCAGGAAAACGAGTATGTTTTCCTGGCACTATAGTGGTCCTTTAAGGTTTGGGTGATGAGAGAACTGTAATAGCAGAAACAGATCTACAACTAAATCATGTATCATAATGTTCTCTAAATTATTATTCATAACTACACCGGATTCTGTAATACAACTGAATTGAAAACCATGAAATTTAGTTAAAAAAAAGGCAGAGTACATCTCACACAAGCACAAATTAACATAGACAAAAGTAAAAAAAAAAAAAAATACTTTATGCCATTTGTCACGCAAGCACTGATAACCAATCTGTGCAGTTTACATATTGTTTTATTTGTTATTAGCTTATTTCAACACAAGCATCGTATCCATTAATCCCTAACCCCTCTGACATGCTGCTATTTATCTTGTGTGTCTTTACAACTTCCACATAGATTTGTACGATCGTTTGAGCAGGGCCTCCTTAACTTCTTGTCTCTGTTATATTCCATATGTTAATTACTTGTTGTCAAATATCCCTATTTTATTATTTTAAAGCGCTATATAAATGCTAATAATAGTAATATATACAACAGGATTTGTTGTTAACACCTGGCTGAATTTCGCAAATATTTGGTGAATTTATCTGTGAGTGGGGGCATAAGGCCTCTCGTAACCACAATCAACAAGAAATAATTCCCATTAAGCTTATCAAGCATAGCTTTGCATGCTGGGAACTGTAATTCAATATAAAACGAGTAGTGGGAGGTTAAATTGGACCTATAGTACTGAATGTACGTAGATTCCATTTCTTGCATGCTCACTGAATACTTGATAAGCTCTGCCCTCATCACAAAAAAAAAAATTCTTTGCACCTCTTATCATTCTCCACAAGCATTGAGGATGGATATAATTTATTCTGGTTGAGTGGATTAGATCCCTAACACTCGATTAGTATTAAATGAGTATGATGGAGTGTTGTTCAATGAATACAAAAGACCTTAAGAACTCAGTCGATAAGGATTACAGTTCAAGATAATCCACTATTGGCTAAGCATGGTTAGATTTGCAGTTCATTTCTTTTTAGGCAGCATAGTGCTCTTTGACGTCTCACTCCTCCATCCACCTTTTCTTTCTTCTTCTTAACTTTTTTTATGCAGGGGTAATGTGGAACCAAGAAATCTTTAACAATCATTTTTAGTGTAGGTGATTATCACCAAAGTGCGTCACACTGGAACATGTGTACTTCCTTTATTTCGATGCATAATATGCACAATAATTGAATGACAATTTAAAAAATTTTGTTGCTTTTTATGAATATTTACAATGTTCCTGCATTAAAGACTTTTCGTATGTAGTTTATTATTGTCTCTGATGGTATTGAGAACGATTTCTAATGTGTTATATTTATGTTTTATAGGTACTATGCCTAGAAGGCCACATGTCAAAAACCTTAGGATATCTGGACTTGGGGGCAACAGGAATGGTGAAGAATGGACCCTATGGCACAACCAAGCCTCATTCTATCCACCCATTCAGGGTCTTCTCAAGTGACCCATTCAAAGGAAAGAACCCAATTCAAACACCTCTCATGCCTTGGGAGTGGAGCAAAAACCAAACACTGTTCAGTGGAGGAGTTGGCCAGAGAGCGAAGCGTAAGCCGTCTCTGAAGACAGGAAGGACAAAGAAGATCTTTGGTTGGGGCGACTTCTACTTCAACATTAAGACAGTCAAGTTTAGCTTGTTGGTCACTGGTAAAATCGTAGACCACATTAACGGAACTTTTAGTGTCTATTTCCGGTATAACTCATCTAGCTTAGGCAACGTATCTGTCAGCATTGTGCCACCTACCAAAGTGGTTGAATTTGATATTCTTCAGCAGTCTACCTTGGATACCAGAGAAACCAAGATTTTTAATTGTAGGGTGGAATATGAAAAGACCAACAGCGCCTTTAAAAACAAACCCTGTCTTTATGATCCGGCAAAATCATGCTACATGGAACATACCCAGAGTCATGCTGCCTGGCTCTGTGCCAAGCCCTTCAAGGTTATTTGCATCTTTATCTCCTTCTACAGCATTGACTACAAGTTAGTGCAAAAGGTGTGTCCGGATTACAATTTTCAGAACGAGCACCCTTATTTTGGTTGATGGACATACTGGCAAGGGAGGTCAACAAGCAGCTTTACATAAGAAGGAAGAATTGATACAGTAGGTTCACAAGTCAAGAGGTCCAACGTAAACTATAATATAATGTTGCCCTGCTGAACTAGGGACAGATGAACCCAGGTGTCATTTTTACTATATACTTCAAAATATTTTGCATTTCGAAAACAATGAGTCTCAAAACCAAAACTGCATGAATTTTTCCTGGTAAAAATAAGTAAATTTGTCCTTCTGAGTATCAAACATTTACACTGAAAGTTTTACATTCTGCGCTTATCTCAGTAATAAAGAAATACCTCATTGCCAGAGGAACCTGCTAACAACAAAGTTTTGGTGTTCAACAAATGTAAAAAAAAAAGTATGGCAAGTATATGAATATTTTATTATAGTACCTATAACCAGAAGATTTCATTGTAAAAGTATAACAAACCTTATTCAAAGCAAAGGAAACAGACAAATGCAAAAAGAAACAAAAATGCAGACCAAAACCATTGTCCACAGCAATACCAGTCCTGATTGTATCTGATAGTCCGAAAAAATCAAATGATCTCTACTATGTCTCAGATGAGGATTATTTTTTTTTACGAATACTGAAAATTAAAGATTACATGTGATATACCCCCACTGTGTAATATTATGTAATGAATACATATAAGTTAATAAGGCAGTTCAGCATATCTATTGGCTTACCCTCTCTCAGTGGGTCCAGACATACTTAGACCACTTTAAGCAGAAGGATCATTTATCTTCTAAAATCATCTCAGAGTTCATTTTTAAAGTGTGCTTGCACATAATGTCGGGATTCATTAACAAACACTTGCTCTTGACTATGCTTGGTTTTTGGTGTATTATCTGCACTTCAAATCAAAGATGACTTAGTAACTAGGTGATGCACAGTAAATAGTTGCTTGTATGTAAGCATATCAAAATAATAAACACAGAGACTATACTATCTGCAATCTTTTATTTTCTTTTAACAAAATGCTTTTTAAAAATGCAATAGCAATTTGTAATGCGTCATGGTGAAAAACTACAAGGGTATCTAATGATGATTAAAGGAACATGCCAAGCCGCATAACCACTACTGTGATGTAGTGGTTATAGTGCTAGGAGTATTTGTCACCACCTGATTGTAAGTAGTCAAAACCTTTTACAACAGTTGACTTCTTACCTGGATTCTTCTGGGCACCACTCCCCACATCCCCTACTTCTGATTGAAAGCCAGAAGTTCGTCTGAACTCTTTCAGCCAATGAGCTAAGCCCTGTACAACCGGGCTTAGCCCAGATATAGACCTTTTAGCTGTCGGAAGTAGTGGAAGGGGGAAGAGGTGAGCAGCAGACTCCAGGTAACAAGTCAAACCATTCTACAATGCTTACAATGAGGGCAGAATTGTCAAAGCACTCCTGACACCATAGCTACCAAAGTCCACTGTAGTGTTTATGGCGCTTGGGGTGACAGCCAAATTCACTAACTCCAAAATGTAATGTAATGAATCACGGACCAACCTAACTGCAGTTTGGGCTTGTGATACTAAATTATTTCCACAGTGCCAAATAAAGAGATCATTGATGGGAAAAAAAGATGATTGATGGTGAGCAATAGGGGGGAAAAGGGAGGAACAGTAAAACAAATTGATTATATATTTAATAAATATGTAACATATAAATATAGATTTTTTTTTTATTGCTCCTCTTGTTTTCTTCTCCATTGGTTACTTTTCTCACTTGATCTGTGAACCAAATGTCTGGAAATAGTGATGTCCCAAACGGTTCGCCGAACGGTTCGCCGCGGACGGCGAACATATGCGGTAAACTTTGACCCTGTACCTCACAGTCAGCAGACACATTCCAGCCAATCAGCAGCAGACTCTCCCTCCCAGACCCTCCCACCTCCTGGACAGCTTCCATTTTACATTCATTGTGAAGCTGCATTCTTAGTGAGCTGTCCAGGAGGTGGGAGGGTCTGGGAGGGAGGGTCTGCTGCTGATTGGCTGGAATGTGTCTGCTGACTGTGAGGTACAGGGTCAAAGTTTACTGCATATGTTCGCCATCCGTGGCAAACTGTTCGGCGAACCGTTCGGGACATCACTATCTGGAAAATACTCCTATCAGTGTACTGCAATATATATATATATATATAAATATATATGTATATATAATATATTATTAAAATAATATTATGTATGTATTTTGCAGCATACTGATTGGACCATTATTGCACCTCTTTTTGCTCTTCTGATCTGAGATTCTGCCGAGCTGTTCTGACCTTCAAACAGAACTTGGGTGTGCCGATAAATGTGCTATTTTCAGAAATAAAATATTCAGCTGAGCCAAATTATCTCGCTGTGTACAAGTCTACATCCTCTCATGACAATTGTAAAGACACAAATGATATGTTCCAAAGAGTATCAATACAAGAAAGTATCGTGAGTGTCAGTTCAAATGTACTATAGACACAATTTGGTTATAAGTTATTACCACCGGGGTGGGAATTTTTACAAAGAAAAAAGAACAATCCTGGCAATGTTATGAATAACAGCTGAACATTAGTAATATTGGCAAAACAATTTTTATCTGTCTAAATATTGGGGAAACTAAACTAATAAGTATTATCTGTTGCAGGAGAAAATTGGCATAAATGCAAAGAACACTGCCCCTCAAGAGTACCATTTTGGGAAGCTGTCTAATTGATATGTATTTAAAATACATGACCCTCCAGGGAATACTAAAGTAAACATTAGTAAAATATCACAGGAATAATACTTACTATACTGGATGTGAATATGGAAGAAGGAGAGAACAATAAACAATGCGACAGTTATTTAGACAGAATAGTATTTTACTCGTTATGGTCCATGATTGTTTTGGGCATCTAATAAAAATAATGTAAGACTTTTAAAACTAGGGTCCTTAAAAGTGCAAATCTTAATTTAAGTAGGACACCAAATGCAATTAATGGTCTTTATTATAGTTTTGCTTAATTACATTATTACAATGAGTGTTGTATATTTTTCAATTTCTGATAAGTATAAATAAATTTTTATGTAGCCACAGACTAAAATAAATTTAAAAGGCATTTATTATACTTATATTTTGTAGACAACATTGATCACTTTTCTTGCCAGGGTATTTCTTGGTAATAGAAGCACCAAAATATTACAACATTTTGGCATTTTAGAAGACATTTCATCATGCAGTAAGGATCTATTTTTCACTTCAACTTTTAAAGCAAATAACACAATATTATTCATCATTGCATTCTTGCATAAGAAAATTAGGCATCTACTTTTGTATCCACTGTAAACATATTTTACAAGTTATTAAGAGGGAGGTCTACATTATTCATGTCCTGCATAACCACTAAAACCAAAGTTTTGCATAACCACCTAAGGAGGCAAGTTATTCAAAGTGTTCATAATTAAATGGGACACATATGACACATATGATAATCATCCATCTACTGCATTTTTTATTGCCAATAAAGCTTATCTATGATTTAAAAAAAAAAAAATTCTTGCTGAAGTCTGACCAACATTGCATATCATGGGATTACAAAGCACACATGCCACACAGGGTTTTCAAAAGTTCTGGGGTACTACAATTGTTTCTCCCATCCCTCGCTATGCATGCTATGGAAAAAGAACAGGTATATCGATGATTTATTTACTCCTGATTCAGTTGATTGGCACAGCTAACCCTCAAATGTTACAAGCACAAGTGTGAACACTAATTTTAGGGCTAACTAAATTAATTAATTAATTATTCTCATTTAAAATATATTTTAATGTATTGTTGCTAAAGTGAAGTGCAGTTGGCAAGGCACAGCCCTCCTTCGTACATTCAAATTGTTAAAGGGTATCGGGGTTCACCATCAAGCTGCTGATCCTGTATCAGATTTTCATAATGTTGTAAAGAAGGAATTATTCAGTATTGATATTGATAAAAAATATAGCTGTACAGTTTGTCTGTTCCTCCTTGTACAGATCGTGTTATACACCTGGTCCTATTTTTTTATGAGAAACCAAATATAATAAAAGAACAGATGTAAAACAGACTTTGGTGGTTGCAGGTTTGTTGATTGTGAATTATTTTACTTTCTTGCCAATATTGATTTTAGCAGAGTTGCATATCAACATTCATGAACAATAATTATTATATACACTACTTCTAAAATACCAGTACGGAAAAGATCGAGACTGAACATCTAGACAAAAATAACTTGCAGTTATTGGGATATTCCAAAGATAATAACTACTACAAGGTATTATTATGGCACAATGAGTATGTTTATGTTGCAATGAGTCTTTAGGTGCATTCTTGCCATTCTTAAAAAAGACAAAGAGGGCTAGATCATCTGTCCCAATAAGTTCCCATCTAAAGAAAAGTAGGGTTAACAACTAATTAACCCCCTTCAGGACTGAGTCAATAGTGCATGTTCTGATCAAAACGTAAACAAAAACTGGAATTTGCGCTATATGTCTGTCCAACCGTAATTCACAGCTGTCACATTAAGTGCCCTAACACTTATTATATATAATTTTGTTCAGGAGAACAAGGGCTTTAATTTATCATTAACTATTCATATATGGAACATAATTTATTATGAATAAAATTTTAAAAAAATTGAGAAAATAAGATTTTTATTTAAATTTGTATTTCCGTCTGACATTTTAGCTGTTAATGTCATAATACTCTTAGGTTTTACTGCAAAAAAAATGCACATATTTGTAATCAGTGATGTCTCACGAGTACAACAGTACCCCCCATTAACAGGTTTTATGGTGTTTTGGAAAGTTACAGGTTCAAATATAGAATGTTCCATTTTCACATTGAAATTTGCCAGATTAGTAATGTTACCTTTGAGACGGTGTGGTAGCCCAGGAATGAGAATTACCCCCATAATGGCAAACCATTTGAAAAAGTAGACAACCCAAGGTATTTATAACAAGAAAACAAGTTGTATTCCAGAGGTAACAAGTCAGAAAAAAAACAAAAATACATGGCCTCTCTGGGCTTCCATAACTTAGAATAAGAGTTATGTTATATTTGTTCCATAGGTTTCACACATTGTCTTTTAAAATTTCATAAAATTCTAAAATCAAATAAATCAGAAAATTCTAAAGGGGTGATTTCATTTCCATACTTATTTTTCTACTTTTAAAACCTTGGGGCACTTTTCTTAGCAACACATTGATTAAGTTGAATACAGACATGGAGAGAGAATACAACAGTGAAAGACCAGAACAATCATTCACTGGAGTTGTGTTGGTTGAAAGGTATTAGGGCATAACCCAGAGTAATAATAATAGAGAGAGAAGAGACTGAGATGGGTTAACTGAACAGTGCTCCCAAAATCAGTCTCTATACCCTAAATGGGGCTGCTACACCAGTGTAGGGCAATAAATTGCCAATCCTAGAGCATAGGAAGAACTAAAAAAATAAATCTTTATTCCCTCTTAGGGAAAAAGTAAACAAAATATAGTGAAAAGTGATATTAACAATAAAATAGGATAATCTACTAATCTGCAAAATATGCATATATACTATATTTATATATATATAGTATATATAGTGGCCACTGTTAAAGTTAAATAACTATTATAAACTGTTGCTAACAGCTTATTTGTAACAGAATATCCGTAGCCAAAAATATAAAGTAGAAAGTGTGAACAGAAGGAAGTAAAATGTATCCACTGGGATGATAGACACCAATGTAACCCTTAGTAGAGCGATATACGTATAGTTGCACATATAAGTGCTGATTAATAAGGATGTCCTCAGAGGATATATCCAGATTACTTCCAAGAATGGGGGGGCTTCAAAATCAGTGGTACGCAAAGAGTTTCTAAGGAGTAGTTGGGGAGGATAAGCGGCAGTGTTAGCCGAACCAATAATATAGTCGGGATGCTAGCCGACAGAAAGTCCTACAACCCCAATTATAATGCTCCATCTATTCCCCAGTGCTAGAGGTGAACAAGGTACATACAGTGAGAGAAAAGGGTAGTTGGTTGGTCCGGCCGGACATAAGAAGAGGTAAAAATAATTCTATTAATAAACCTTAACCCATAAAATACACTCGTATAGATAAATCAAAGTAAAGTAACTGAAGGCTTATTTACAGTTAACGTTGTCTAAATGCCGCGTACTAAATGAGTCTAGTATATAGTATGAAAGAGAGTGCTATGCTAAATCCGTGTACCATAAGTCGATAAGAAACGATTGGTACAGCAAACATCTTTAGCTTAATTTAGTGAGTTTGGTGTATACATCATACTCCTGCCGTCTCACTGCTGAATTCTCTGCCAATTTAAGAGTTATATAGTTTTTTTTTTTGTTTATGCATCCCTAGCCACACTTCCCCTGGATGTTACTCACACAGCCTCCCTACACAGCTCATACAAAGCAAGATCTAATTTGTGAACTTCCTTTCATGCATAGTATGTTTCATTTACAATGTCTTATTTCCTGATCTGTTGATAACCTGCTTGAGTCTGCAGGAACCTCCTGTATGTGATTAAAGTTCAATTCATTGTTCTTCAATTTACAGAGGTGGAAATAAATATTCTTTTAATTATTAATATTTCTAATTAATACTGACAAATTATAATAAGGTACGATAAAAAGTGAAATGTTTAACATAGAAGAGCACACTTAACTTTCACAGTTTTTCCAGAAAATCCTGGGTCTAGATGGCATTATTAGCTATTATAACGGAATGACCTGCAAAGAAAGGTTGTTTCAAATTCAATAGATTCCTTTAAAAAGTTCTGAATGATTTTTTTGGCAAAGTTATTCAAGATTATAATAGCTAACATGCAGAGTATTAATAGCCTATAGGTCCAAAGAGATATCAGATTGCCCCTTTTGTGGAACAATTGGAAATAACTTCAAAAGTTTATTTTTTCTCCGCCATCTTCCAGATCCACAGCAGAAGCCAAGATTTGAATAGTTGATGTACATGGACTACTAAAATATTATACAACCTATATAACCATAACTAATCCTTTATTAAGGTAAACTGTGTCCCTTTCTATCGTTAGCAGATTTGATGTTATATAAGAAAACAACTCCAGAACAAAGAACACTGTGTTCAGGAGCTTACAGGTTACTTCAGTGCAAAAACTAAACAGGAACAATGTTGTGACAGCTTAAAGGACCACTATAGTGCCAGGAAAACATACTCGTCCCCCACAGGGTCCCCCTCCCGCCCGGGCTCTGGGGGTGCCGGGCGGGGAGCTTTCCTCCTTCTCTCCTCCTCTTCGGCTAAATGCGCATGCGCGGCAGGAGCTGCGCACGTATTCAGCCAGTCCATAGGAAAGCATTCACAATGCTTTCCTATGGATGAAGGCGTCTTCTCACTGTGAAAATCACAGTGAGAAGCGCGGAAGCGCCTCTAGCAGCTGTCAATGAGACAGCCATTAGAGGCTGGATTAACCCATTTATAAACATAGCAGTTTCTCTGAAACTGCTATGTTTATAGAAAAAATGGTTAAACCTAGCTGGACCAGGCACCCAGACCACTTCATTAAGCTGAAGTGGTCTGGGTGCCAATAGTGGTCCTTTAATATCATCTGGCTCACTCAGAGTTCTATTTTCTAAACATGCAATTGTGAGTAGAAAGCCAACTAGCCAAATGTAGAACAATTAGCCACATTAATAAAATTCACCATTTGCCTTAAAGAAACATTATAGCGTTAAGAATACAAATATGTTTAACATGCTTAACATTGCAGCACTAAGGGCAATGGTGGTCTGGGTGCCTACAGTGTTCTTTTAAAACTAGTGGGAATTGGCACCCAGAACACTTCTCTGAGGAAGTGTTCTGGATGCCTATAGAGTACCCATAAGCAAAGATGGTTTTCCAAATTTGCCATTTTCACCTAGGCTTTACAGGTCATTATCAACTCACCACAATAAAAAAAAAAAAATTACTCAGTGTTTTGTATTATATTGTTTACCACCACAACTGAGTGCTACAGAATAGGGCCTTATGTCATGATCTTTTAAATGTTCTTTTTTCCAAGTAATCATTTTTATTTTAAATTCCCTTTTCAAGAGCATTCTTACACCTAAGTTGTATATAGGTATATATACACATTATAGACTTGATTACTTGCAAATATCTTAATGAAAGACCAGGCGGTTGCAGGTATGGTTCTTTTTTTTTTTTTTACCAATGACGTCATACAAGATGCTGATAAATTACTCCTCTCTGGACCAATTCATGTTCTATTTTTCAGAAACAAAGACAAATATAATGCCCCCATATATCTTTGTAAATAATTTTGCATATTTGCACAACTCTTTGGACATCTCATGAAATGATACATTACCTTTTGCAATGCCAAAGAAACATCAATACCTTTATTCAATATGTCTACATACAGATTACTTTCTGTGCAGTCTCCACAATTACTTTGTCTCTTTCAATGAGACCATTGAAAAAGGTCATCCAAGGTTGTTCTGTATGTAGAAGGAAAATCAAATGATTTTTTGGATTTCTGACTACTGATTATACGAGTAAATCCTACTCAACTGAATTATTTATTCCTTTGTTTTTGCTTAAACTTACAATTAAATGAAAGAAATTCCATTTGCATTGCTATTTAAAATCAAACTTTAACACACTTTTTCTGGACACATTGCTGTGCTCCCCCTGGTAATATATTTGAATGGCAGATATTCTTTTTAAAGGATTTGAAATTAGGAGAATGTATATGAATAGTAACATAATGATTAAAGGAACACTATAGAATCAGGAACACAAACATGTATTCCTGGCAAATGGACGCACCGGAACAGAGGGGTTGAGGGCCCTGCTCAATGAGCTTACATGCTAGAGGGAGTGGGGCATAGTGACACAAAGGGTATAAGTAGGGGTAATGAAATAGGTTGCTAGAAAAGTATTCACTGAGAACTTAGTAGGTTATTTTTGACAGTTGCAGGAGAGGAGTCTGAATCTGGCTGAGCATCTGTGGCATGTGCTGGAACAACAAATCC